CATAACGCTACCGCTACCACTGCCACTCCTGCTACTACTACCACCACTACTACCACTACTACTACTACTACTACTACTACTACTACTACTACTACTACTACTACTACTACTACTGCTACTACTGCTACTACTACCACTACTACCACTACTACTACTACTACTACTACTACTACTACTACTATTACTGGTCCTAATCATCATCATCGTCATCATCAGAAGAGTGACAGCAGTTTTTACTTTAGGTCATTTTTTGTCCTGCCAGGTAACCCTGGTCGCTGCCGAAGCACCTCAGGATGCAGGCGGTGACGTGGTTGCCGAGGCGCTACAGTCTCAGGTTGACGGTTAAGGGTTTGCCATGTCCCGCCCGTCAGCCGGCGACTATGGTGACACTGGCAGCAGTGAGTGCAGATCAGAGTAGCGGCAACGTCCTTCTGTGGATCAGGAATCCATCAGACGCGTTCGCTGAGCAAAGTTAGCTAGACAACATGGTTATCGATGCGATGCTGCTGCCAGAGTGTCAGGAGATGATGGCGGAAGAAGAGGCCATCATGTGCATGGTGGGTGGGACAAATGTTTGCGCACCCTGTGCATTTGCGATTGTTGCTACTTCGGGGAGTTGTCCACATCTTGGGATCGAGGTAGCTGGTTCGTCCATCAATACTACAGGATTCAGACCGTGATTAATCTGGTAAAGACTGTCGCTTTTTCCGGCTGTGGCGTGAATCAAAGCTTAAGTATTATTATTCCAAGACACTGCTTATAGGAGAGCTTGCCAGAACCCAGAACCCAAATTCTGTGCCAGGAGCCACCCAAGGAGTCCCGCATGGAAGTCTTGGTTTTTGTGGGGTTCCAGGATTTCGCTTCACGTTTTACTCGCGAATTGGATTGCCACTGAGGTCTCGATGCTTCGGGGCTTGCCGGGCTTGTTTGTTTGTGTGCATGTGCATTGGGGAGTCTCTGCGTGTTTTGGCTTCGTTTAGTGTTGGCGTTTCTGGAGAGACATCACATTTTCAGTGAGGGGCTGTGGACGTTGAAGCTTTTCGTACATTGACCGGCCGCCAAAATTCGAGAGCCAAGGCAAGATCTTGAGCCGTGACAACAAGAATCCGTTCCATCTCCATACTTGTAGGGGGTTCTGGATACCATTACCATCACTATAACCACTATTACTACTATTACTAATTACAAACACTAATCACTAATCATTACTGTTACTACTACCGTTACTGTCACTCTTGCTCTTACTGTTACTATTGCTCTTGCTCTTCTTCCTGCTCTTCCTTGTGCCATTACCTTTACTCTTTTGCTTACTCTTACCCATTACTGTAGCTATATAGGGGCCCTAATGATTGCCTATACTATTTTGAGGGTTCTTTATTATAACTGTAGTATAATACCGCCAAGCCGTATTCTAATTATTAAGGCCCCTACGGCGCAGTAGTATAGAACCCTATCATAGATCCCTTATAGAACCCTTTAAGGATCCGTTTAAAGGAGCCCTATTAGACATATTGTAACTGTAGTATAATAACCCTAAACCCTAAACCCTAAACCCTAAACCCTAAACCCTAAACCCTAAACCCTAAACCCTAAACCCGAACCACTAGTCATGTCGGCTTGCCCCACCGTGCAGGAGGCCGCGGAAAGCTCGGAGATGGCCCCGGCCACGTCTGAAGCCCCGCCTTCTCTCACCGTCGTGGCTTAGGTTTTATGAAGTTTAGGTTTTCAGGTTTTATTTTAGGAAGTTCAGGTTTTAAGGTTTTAGGAAGTTTCGGGTTTAAGGTTTTAGGAAGTTTCGGGTTTAAGGTTTTAGGAAGTTTCGGGTTTAGGAAGTTTAGGGGGTTGGCAGTAGGGGACCTGATTACAGGAGTCTGGATGTCTAGTGAGTCATGCGGGATGAAGTAAACCATCTGCCCAGGGCTGATGAACATAATACGCACGTTGCATAGCATGTGTTTGCTTGCTCGAGCTATACGGGCCGATAACCCTAAACCCTAAACCCTATTTGGTTTTAAAAGAAACCGGTGGTGGAGCAGGTTGGCCACAGCCGGCGGAGGACTTCCGCCCAACGGTAATGAAGTGGTGCGCCACGCGTCGCGCAAAAACGCGCGAACCAAAGAATGATGGAGCACTACTTACCGGGCCCCTGGGAATCTGAGTTGTTTTTGAACCTGATCCACAGAGAACTGTTTAACTTACTTCACGAGAGTAACTAATATTATCTGACTATCCCAGGGTCCCATCTAAGCAAGTTCCTCCACACCTGTTCATGCAGTGCCCTGCTCAGACTTTGCTTCGTAGTCGGGTGATACTGCTGCGTAATCGGCTAAGATCAGCACATCCCGTTGGGGAACATACTGAAGCCGGACGCCAGTACTCGGAATCGTGAGTCACAGGACACACCTGCCATCAGAGCTGAGCTGTCAAGAATGAGTGTGAGTAGTCGGCAGCTCATTGCTTATACCACCGACGCGGTTGTCATCATGGTCAAAGCAGTAACATCATGGATCATAGTGCTGAAAGGGTACGTATACCGGACGATCATGCTCATTGTAATATAGCAACAGTCGCCTCAAGCAGAGGTAGGCAATTGCAACTGCTACATTTTTGGGTAGAAATATTGTCCTCAAATACTTGTAGAGTGCAATATCAGAAACAGTGGCAGCACGAGAAATTGCAAGTGATTAATGGCGAGGTCGAGAGTTGTCACAGGAAGTGCGCATGACAGCAATGACAATAATGTAACACTGGAGTGGTGCCACTGGTCATCGGAATAGTTTGCGGGTGATCGGAGTTCGACAAGGAGTGGCTGAGCAAAGAATAAGACTGAAGCACACCGAGACCCTGAAGCTCTCGTTCAGGGTTGTATGCTTCAATTCCTTTTTCAAACCTCAGCCTTAGACCTCCTGAAATTAGTATTATCAGTGTAAATTATGATTGCTACTATTACTATTGTGATTATTATCATTCCCTAAGGGTCCATGTTCCCAAACAGTATGTACATTGGCTTCAAAGTATCTATATAAGGACTTAGGGATTGCAAATTTTGTTACTCGAAATATGATGAGGCGTGAGTGGATCTGAACAGGGCAGCCTCAGGCATCCTCCAGCTCGGAATGGCGACGTGCGGGCAGGAAGAAAAGAGTCAAGGAGTGGGCTGGGAACCATTTCATAGGGTTTAGGGCTTTGGGTTTAAAGGGTTTAGGGGGTTTAGGGGCTTGGGGGTTTACGGGTTTGGGGGTTTAGGGGTTTGGGGGTTTAGGGCTTTAGGGTTTAGGGTTTAGGAACCCGTGTAGGAGCCCTCAATCAATTGAACCTTCAAGGAACCATGATGAACCTAAGGAGGCCCAGCATAGCCCTTAGAAGTAGGAATCAAACGAACCTCAATTGAACCATTATAGGAAGCCTATTTCCCGAAAGTTGAATAGGTGATGCTGGGTGAAAGCTTCACAAAACCCTCACCAAACACGTCGACACACAGGCTCCGGGTTCTTAAAGCCCTAGACATAAACCCTA